TCTGTGCGGGTTAATCACCCTGTGGTGGGGCTGATGAAGCCTCTGTGCGGGTTAATCACCCTGTGGTGGGGCTGATGAAGCCTCTGTGCGGGTTACTCACCCTGTGGTGGGGTCTGGCTGGCTGTGTTCTGCAGCTCTGAGGCGGGAGTGGTGCTGGGTAAATGTTGAGTGACTTGAATGAGGTGCTAATGGGGGTTTAGAAGTGTCCTCCCCAGGGCATTCCCTGGGAAATGGGGTGGCAAGTGGCCCCAGTACCGTAAGATGGTTTCCTTCCTGCTGTCGGGAGGCCTGCTCGGGTCTGCATGTGCCTGGGCTTGGCGGGTGAGGGGCAGCCCCGCATTGGAAGCTCTAGGAACTTGGATCTCGGCTGAAGGCCTTTGCTCCAGAGACCAGGGCTCTGAGCTTGAACAGCTCCTCCTAGACACAGCTGTGCTCCACCCGGCGCGGTGGCAGCTGCACGAGGGCCCGTGTGCTCTGCACACGTCAGCAGCCCCGAAATGCACGCCCGTCCAACCTTGTCCCTGGTCATGCAGGTTCCGCCTGGGCTGTGACAGGAGGTTCAGCACCCTCAGGCACCTGGCAGGCCCTCCTGACCTTCTCCCCAAGCAACAGGAATGGGAAGGTTGTAGATCCGAGTAGAATTAGGAGGCTCTTCTCAGAGGAGCCTGGCAGAACCTGGCCCTGGATGTGTGCCGAGTGGCAGGGCACCCACAGGGAGATGAGCCAGTGCCCACCTCTCACCTCAGTTTCCCCGTGGTCGCCTCCTTCCTCAGAAGGGGCTGGCCCAGGCTGGTGCCTCCTTGGTCCCTGGAGCATACCTGCTGCCACCTTCCCTGGCCTCTGGCTACAGCAGGCCTCCTGTACTCCACCTGTCCCCGAGCCAGCACGCCTCCACACAGAACATGGCCGCAGATGACCCTCCTCTGCCCTGCATAGCGAGCTGCCGCCTGTGTGGGTCCCACTGCCAGGTTGGGGAGTCAGGAGCTGCCCCCACACCCTGCCTGGGAGCTGTCGCCCGTCTTTTGGATGAGTCAGGAACACCTACGTCAACACTGGGTGGCCGCCCTTGCCACACCTGCGCACAGGCCCTGTGGGGAGAGCCAGGCAGT